GAATAAATCGCTTTGTTATTAATGTTCAATGTTTGCTCGACTCGTTACCCTGCATAGGTAAGGAAAAAAATGCAGATTTGCGGGAAAGCAAAGCTGCTCCTCTCACAAGATGAGAAAGTTAGGAAGAGGGAAAGAAAAAAAAAGGTATATGTAGTGTAGTAGGTTTAGGAGGGTTTGGTAGGTTTGGGGGAGTTTGGAGTTGGAGAAGACGATGGTTGGTTTGCAGGTGAATAAATGCCCAGGTGGGTACCTTAGGTTCCTAGGTTCCTAGGTACAATACATAATCTCCAGCTTACAAGGACTTGGTGGGTTACATGTATGTAAGTACACTATGTAGGTACCTATGCGGTAGATGGACAGGCGCCAAACATAAATCGTCAGGTGAAATGGAAAAGTGTAAAAAGGAAAAAAGAAAAAAAAGAAAAAAAGGTACAAGTTGATTGGTCTAGAACGATGAGGTCAAGGCTTCCCGTCATATAAGCGGGGCTTGTACCTTGGTAGATATGTAACATGTCCTACACTACTAAGGTACGGAGTCTGGGAGTACAGAGTATAACCTAACCTTAGCAGGTACACCACTACACCACTACACGTAGCTGCAGCCTTGAAGTTAGTGGTTCCCGTTAGCGTATCAACTTTAGTAGAAAGAGGAAGAGAGAAGCTTTTATCTTATCGATACCACCGTCACCATCAGTACCTGTTATCCCGTTATCCCTTTTGCCTTTCTTTTCCCCTTCCCTGTTCCCTCTTTTTCACTTTTCCATCATCCTTATCTTTCCACAACAACAACAACCACCACTACCTCAAGTTTCACGTCCTTTTTTATCTTTCAATTTTTTCATACTAGTGCCACTCCGACATAAAACAAAATCGAATAAATAGATTTATACCCAGTCAACTACCGCGAAATCACATCACAAACTATGGGTAACGACGGTGGCTCCATCCCCAAGCGTCGCGAGCTCGTCAAGGAAGCAGCCCGCCAACCTACCGCCTCCGAACTCAAAGCCACAGCCCTCGAGTCGCAAACCCACGCTTGGTCCTTCTGCCCGCTATCTTCCTCCTCCTCCTCCTCTTCCGATGCCCTCGACCCTCACAATACCGTATCCGACTGGCGCGGGCGCCTCTACAATTACGAGTCCGTTCTGCGGTGTCTGATGCCCTCCTCATCCTCCCCGGAGAACCCCGAAGCAGGCGATTCCGATTCCGAATCCAAGAAGGACGAGCTCGCGCGCACCGGGATAAAAAGCCTAAGAGACGTAGTCAAGCTCAAGTTTACGCTGCGGCCCGCCGTAGAGAGCAATGGCAATGGGGAAGGGCGGAAGAACGGGAACGGTGGTGAAGAAATCCGGGCCTGTCCCGTAAGCATGAAAGAACTCGGCGCTGCTACCAAGGCCGTGTATATAGTACCGTGCGGGCATGTCTTCGCTGAGGTAGCCATGCGCGAAGTACTGGCCGGCGCCGACGCCGAGAAGGAGACGACAGAGCAATGTCCTGCCTGCAGTGAAGCCTTCACGGCACCCCGCGACGTCGTCCCGGTGCTACCCACGGAAGCCGCCGACACCGAGCGGTGCTCGCGGCGCATAGACGAACTTAAGGCGCTAGGCCTTACGCACAGCCTCAAAAAAGACAAGGCTGCGTCAGGGGACAAGAAAAAGAAGAAGCGCAAGGCCGAAAACGGAACAGAAGAGGGCGATGGGACGGAGGTAAAGAAGAGTAAGAAAGAGAAGGATAGTAAGAGCACCAAGAAGAACGACATATCCAGTCGCATCAACAACTCGATGACGGCCTCCCTGACTGCCAAGGTGCTGGCGGAACAGGAAGAAATGAATAAACGGAGGAAGATGGCAGCGGCAGCGAGGGGATGAGTTAGAACCTAGACCTGAGAGGGGAGAGACGCAAATGATACCACCAAACTTACATTAAACGCCTAGGTTACCTATTACACAAAGCAATGCTGTAACTAAATAGGTTATTGATTCAAAATAAAATATCATGAGTTATGTCATAGGATTTGCAATGGGTTCCAATGTATATATCCTAAGCTTGACTGGTAAATAAGTACTAGGTTATCTTAGTGGGTTATCTACCTATATACATAACCTAGTAACTTAGATAGGTGACTTAGACAAACCAATGCAAATTCAAGTATAATAGGCTCTGTCATTAGTGTGTTTAGTGTACTGACAAAAGAAATGGAAATAAAGAACCTTAACAAACCAATGAATGAGTGGGGCTAGATGGATGGCGGGGGACATAATTGTAACCTCCATGTGTACATTGATACATGATACATCTAATCTACTACTAAAGTTATTAGTGTATATAGTACTGTGCATAGCTAGGGTTTACCTAATAGGTTGAAACCGACAGGGGAGCTTTCAGGGCTTCGTTGTCAACTTATAGCAACTTGGTCTTTTTTTACTTTCTTCAACTTCAACTTAACTCAACTTTTACCTTCACTTATACACTTCAACTTTACATGCCACGCACACATAACTTTATGTTCTTTTTTTTTTCTTTTCTTGTTCCTCAGATTATATTTCACTACTGTGAACCTTTCTCACCACCGAGGGTAAGGTTGGGTTAGATACAATGCGGCAATCTCAGGCTTTGGTGCTCATGGGCATCATTGCTCGCAATGGGATTGCTACAGCCGGGTCTTTACCAAGAGGAGTTGGTCCAGAATGTTCGTATATCTTTCTTTTTTTATATATATCTCTCTCCTTTTTTCAGCCCGTTCCAACTTAAGATAGCTCTTTGGACCCCAATTGACACTTTTCTCTCCTAGTTGTCAAGTTCTACGAATCCAAGGACAAGTTCAGCTGTATAGGGCACCCGGCCATAACCATCTCACCCTCCCAAGTCAATGACAATTCATGCGACTGCCCCGATGGCTCTGATGAGCCTGGTACAGCTGCATGTGCCCTGCTAGACCATCTATCTCCCCCACAGCCCCTCCCTGCCTCCCTGTCCGGCTCGACCAACACCACCAATGCCCTCCCCGGCTTCTGGTGTGAGAACCAAGGCCACGTCGGTGCTTATGTGCCCTTCATGTATGTTAACGACGGTGTCTGTGACTATGATCTGTGCTGCGATGGCACCGAGGAGTACGGCAACGTCGGTGGAGTCAAGTGTGAGAACAAGTGCGCCGAGATCGGCAAGGAATGGCGGAGGGTCGAGAAGGAGCGGAAAGATAACCTCGAGCGGGCCAACAAACGCCGGAGAACCATGGCCAAAGAGTCTAAAGAGCTCAGACGGCGGGTCGAGGCCAAGATCACCAGTCTCGAGGACGAGATCAAAGGACTAGAGGTGAAGCGTGACGAACTAGAGGCCAAACTGGACGAGGTCGAGCGGTCGGAGCGTGGCAAGGTGGTGAAGAGCGAAGGCCCCGGTAAGCTCGGCGTGCTAGCTGGACTGGCCAAGACCCGAGTCAACGAGCTTCGGGATGCCCTGAGCAAAGTCATGGGGGAGCGACGCACGCTTCAGGATAGGCTTGCCGAGCTCGAGGGTATCCTGTCCGCCTTCAAGGAGGAATATAACCCCAACTTCAACGACGAGGGTGTCAAGAAGGCGGTCCGGGCCTGGGAAGACTACGCCGCTAAGAAGGTCGACCAGGCTAAGGCTGAGCTCAACGAGGATGACATCCTCGAGGTCATGGAGGAGGATAACGAGAGTTCTGGCATCAACTTTAAGGAATTTGAGGATGCTGACGAGGGAACAGATACCGATATTCGTAAGTGTACTACCCTAAATAAGTGTCGACAGAATCACTCATTGCTAACTTTGCCACCACAGTCTACAGTTTTGAAGCTTATCTTCCCGCTCCCCTGCGGAATCTCATACACTCCAAGATCGTCAGCCTCCGGCTCTGGCTCATCGAGAATGGCATCCTACCTGACAGCGACTCGGGTAAGGGCGAGTCCCGGCTGGTCAAGGCCGCCCGGGAAGCCCGCGACGCGGTAGCCAACGACATCAAGTCGAAGCAGCGGACGCTGGACGAGCAGAAGGCGGACCTGGAGAAGGACTACGGTGTAGACGACATCTTCCGGTACCTCAAGGGCAAGTGCGTGTCGACCGAGGTGGGCGAGTACAACTACGAGCTCTGCTGGCTGGACAAGACGAGCCAGAAGAGCAAGAAGGGTGGCGGCAGCACCAGCATGGGCCGGTTTGAGCGCGTCGACTCGGATGTGGCGGACGAGGAGGAGCGGCACGACGGGAAAGGACTCGGCCGCGGGCGCCGCATCGTGCTGCGCTACGAGAACGGCCAGCACTGCTGGAACGGGCCCAACCGCAGGACGGACGTCTGGCTCGGCTGCGCCGAGCAGGAGGAGCTCTGGAGGGTTAGCGAGCTCGAGAAGTGCGTGTACAAGATGGAGGTCGGCACCCCGGCTGCTTGCTTTGAGGAGGGGGAGGAAGTGGCCGGTGGTGAGCCTGCGGGACGCGAGACTAAAGATGAGCTGTGATTGATACCTACTAACTAAACTAAACTAACCTAACCTACGTGATTTGGTACGATGGGATGGATGTGCTATTATTATGATGTGGTTAGAATAGAATACTTATACAAACCTTTGAAAGTAACGACTAAAGATATGAGATGATTCTTAGATGAGATGAGATTAAATGAGATGAAGGAAGAAAGCTGGTCTTTTACATAAGTTATACATTACAGCATTGCTAAGAATGGGTAGTAAATATAATCACCAATTTATCTCTATATGTACCCCTTTTTGATTACTAAAAGGAGTGTTAACTAATACTCATGGAAGATGAATAGGGAGGGAATCAATATCTATGTCAGCAATGAAGGAGAGCAGAAACAGGGAGGGGTAGATCAGAAGGTTAAAGGGGGTGGTGCAGTGAGAAAGAGGTGAATTCAGGTACCTCCTTAGATAGCAGTACTCAATAATACAATCAAGAAAGTGAAGAAATGAGAAAGAAAAATATTAATAGCATTTTTATCCGGAAACAAAAACAGCCAAAAGGAAAAATTTTATTGTTCGAGCTGGGGTTCGAACCCAGGACATCCAGTGTACACTGCCTGATCTCTCCTGGGCCATTGTCTTCACCTCCCCTTAGGAGGTGAATCGATAGGCCCATGAGATAATAGGACTTGTGAGACTGGCGTGATAACCACTACACCACTCGAACCTTTTTTTCGCTTAAGTTGTAGGATAGGGGAGCTATCGGCGTTTATCAGGGTAGGTGGGCAGGTAGGCAAATAGGTACAAAGTACCTAGACAAAGGGAAGGTGGAAGGGGAGGAAGGGGAGAAGAGTGGGTTGTTTGTGTCCTTGTTTGTTGGTCTTTCCTTAGTAGACTAACTGGTTGGTTGTAAACAGGGGAAGAGGAAGGTACGAGACCCTCGTTACTGCTCTTTTGCTTATAGGTTAGTTACTTGCTGGGCAAGAGGTTAACTACTATGTACCTGGGTACTTAGTACTACTTAGGAATGAAAAGGGGGGAGGGAGTAAAGGGGATGTCTATTGACACTACCAAGAGAATAGATGAATGCCAAAATATACAAATTAGTGAAATTTACTTTGCCTGTATCCACTGATATTCTACGTTGAGAATATCCCTATGTTAGTATATTCTTATATTGCGCGTAATACTCATAAGATGTAAGAGTATATAGAAACCCCAACTTGCTGACCCCTTTTCTGCCCCCACCCCCCTTAACCCTCCCATCCATCCTATACTCTCCTTCTTCCTTCTGCTCTCCTCCCTATATATATCACATACCCTATTCCCCCTCTTCAACCTCCTTCTTCTTCTTCCCCTCACTTTTCGGCTGCGGGTCCCCCTTCTGCGGCTCGTTCTTGGAGCCCGCCTCGTTCTCGTAGCTGCCGCCTTGCTTCTCGTACTCTTTTGCTAGCTTGTTGGCCTGGGTTTCTTTTACGTTAGTACAGAGGTTATGGGCTTCTTGTCTTTTCGCTATTAGGGGGTGTTAAGGAAGGGGAGTGGAGGGAGAGGTAGGTGAAAAGGGAACAGTGGGAGAGGGTTAAAAAAGGGGGGGGATATACCTTCCATGCTGACCACTGGCCTTGACCACCACCTGACTTGTTTGGTTCTTGCTTTATATCTATGTATATATTATTAATACTGTACTCATTGTACGCTCATGTTTTCTTGCTGTTTTCTTTAGGTATGTGCAGTTACCTTCCTTAATCTGCTCTCGGAGCTCGGGATCGGTGGGTTTTCCCTTGGATGAAAGCATTTCTTTTGGTTGCAAGGTATAAAACGAAGTTTAAAGAGTGCAATGTGTGGCTTTTTAGTAAATAGTGGTAAGAATTAAACTCAAAATCAGATGTAATAAGTGTTTGCGTGTTGAATATAACTCTTCTTTCATAGAGGTTCTTGGTAGGCAAGTAAGCAGGTAGAGTCGCTAAGTTTTATATATTCCTCTGGTCTGGAGCTATTCATCGATCGATGACGCCTAGAATTCTTCCACCGCATCGCAAGCCATTACCGACCTGAAAATGTCTAAGACTACTTTTAGGTGTAGATTGCTTAGACAATGCCTTAACCTCGAGCTAAAAAAAACAAAGAGGCGACCGGCGCTATGTCAGGTATTCTTAGCGGGCGGGATACACCATGGCTGTTTCATTACATCATTACTTTACCTAAAAAAGGGTCTTGCATAGCCCTGGGGACGATCAGTAAGTAATTATTACTACTTGTTTTATCACTTACCTAAGTAGGACTACCTAGGTAGGTCGCCAGGTTGATGCCTCATACTAAGATGGGGAGAATAAGGGATGAAAGCTATGGCATTAGTTAGGATTCGCAAGACAAGCTCAAACCAACCTCCAAGGCGAGATAGGACTCTATAAATTTCATATAAGAGGTGTTTTATAAGTATGGATCGGAAAGTTATAGTGTTCTAAGCATCTACCTGCCTAACCTAGGTAGTTATGAATATATACACCTAGGTATCTTGTATACATATATATATGCTGTTTGCTTCCATATTCAAGTGTTTAGACTTAATGGGATTCCTTATAAGTATAGCAATACGATAAATTCTTCCACCAACAAAAGCTTTCTTGTAAGGTCATCGAAAAAGGATTCTATTCAGGGATCCTATCTATGTAAAAATCCCGATTCACAGGTTCGTAAATCATACAAGCATCTATGAACAAAAATGCACCCCTAACCCTTGAAATCTGTTTCCCATTTACTCATATTTTTCTAGTTTATGAGTCAAGTCTAGACTCGGTGTACTTTCTGCATCGTCAAAAACATCCTCCATATAGAAGTTCCACTGCTTTTGTGTAAAGCCCACGGGGAAGTGTTAAGCTAAGATGCCCCTTGTTGAGCCAGGGGTTCGAATCCGCATACTAGGCCGTCCTTCCCCTTCTTCGTCCCGCTACTCATCGACGCACACTCGCGGCCACTCCACAGCTTCTCTAACTCACTCATCACCGCACGCCAATCTCCTAGGAACTTATGCGCGCGCATGTCAGTCCCCTCCGTGATACCGTGTCCCAGAGTCGCGCACCAAACGCCATTGATATTCACCGAGTGGGCGTCGGGGTTCGGGTTCTGCTCCTTAGGATCTTGTTCCAGGACCAACGAGTAGATATATCCTTCATATTCATCACATTGGTTCGTATTCGTAAATGGGAACACCCAACTGTCACCGTGGAATATAGGATGCCAATCGGTCAGTAACAGTGTTTGCTTGCCATCCCCGCTGACCACCTTGCGTAGTTTGGTATTGCATGGTGTTTTAAGAATTCCAACGACAGCCTTAGGCCCGCACAGCGTCTCGACGTAGTCCCCTCTTCTAAGGTCACTCAGCCAGCGAAAAGCGTCTCCCGGGCGCTTTACGCGACCGTTTTCGAAACAAGGACCAGATGGATTATTAAAAGCATCCCTCATAGAATAGTTGCCTCGCCTGAGGGAGGCGAAGTTGGCGCTATTTGGGTTCTCTGGAACGCGGCTGGGCCGAGGCGCGGGGAGTTCGTTGAACGTACAGTTTAGTCTCTCCTCGCAAGTTTCGAAGAACTTATTTTTGTTGTATTGCTGCGGGCCTTTGTCCTTGAAGGAGTTACGCCTAAGAAATAACACAAGAGTTAGAAAAGTCATGTAGGTATATTGAGCGGAAGGGGGTTGGGGGTATGCCAAGGTTAACTTACATCTGCTTCGCATGGGCATTCCATAAGCTAAGGAACCAGTGGCGACCCCATTTCATGAAGTAATCACCTGATTCTAGAGCCATAGAGACTTGTCCTTCAAGGTCCTCCTTGATTGAACGGTTACTCACATCCTTGTACTTGTTAAATCGCTCTAATATCACATCCAACAATTGTCGATGTTTACTCATGGCGCCATTCAGGTCGTAATGCTTTCTTTTGCCATATGCAGGGTATTCATCGTAAGAACATGTATCGTATTGGTCCGCCGAGTCAAATGGAAAGAAGGAAGACAAGAAATCACAGAGTGCCACTCGGCTCAGGTGATAGGCCACCTCAGCATCAGGGAGATGGGACCCCCCTAGCAAGCTCCAATCTTTGTCGGAGAAATATTCCACTTGCCTTCGCGACCATCTGAGCTGGACATAGATATTTGCCTCATTCAAGCCACGCATCGTCGAACCTTTGTCCCTAGCGTTAGAAGCCCGAAGGTAGATGTCTCGAGATTGTCCGTATTGCAGATTTCCGAGGTTGATGATGAATCTCTTGCGTGAGCTATCTTTTTGAGCCTCATCCTCCTGTTGTGCCTGATCCGCAATAGACGGCCCAGTCATTGGCTGTACATTCATCGAGTCTGAGTGTTCCACCTCGATGGTACACTTGGTGGCATACGTCGTCTGCAGATGAGCTACTGCGTGAATTAACACGGTTCCCTACTTCTACTTTAGTATTGATAAGGGGTAAACAAAGTCAGAGAGGATCTTACCATCATGGAGGAATCGGGGATAAACGAGTAATTTCCACCTCCAACCTCAGCAATAGATTTCAACAGCCCTGAGTTAATATGGTATCCGAAGCCAAACGTGTGAATGGTCGCTGGGAGCGACTCATTCGCCTTTTTCTTAATGCTCTTTATCATATCCACATAACCCTTTGGGGGGGCCCTACACGGTTCGTCAGTAGGAGCTGCATATATTCCAATATTTTCAACATACTTCACATTGGGATATCCGTCAGTGAGAATCATCATAGCAGGCACGCGCTCAGTCTCAATGTTCCCGAAAAGTTTCATTCCAAACTGTATTGCATCAACCAAGTTTGTCAAATTTTCAGTTACTAGTTTATTGATACTGGATTTCGTTGATTCTTTGTTCACTCTTGTCATCTCAACAAGCTCCTGGACCACCTATAAATTCTATTAGTCTGTGATTATCATGTTTAGGTTCTTTATGGAGAAAAAAACCTTTGCGTTATCACTAAATGCAACGATTCCCAGTCTGTCCCCTTCATCGAGGCTCTGCACAATTGTATGAGCGGCATGTTTAGCCAAGTCCAGTTTTGTGATCCCGAGGTTCTCGGATGATGTCTCTCCTCGATGATCAGTTGTCCGAGCAAGAGCCAACTCTTTCATGCTTCCTGATACATCGATAACAAGAACGATATCACAGGGAACATGGGTGTTTCTCAGGTCCTTCGGCACTTCCGGAGGCTGGATCTTTATGATAGCCCCATCTTCACTTTTCAGGGGGTGGATGGTTATAACAGGGCCGTCTGGATCTTGAAATCGCCTTGAAGAACGTTGATTCGGTATGGTAGGATTATCTTGATCTTGAACTAGTGTTGAAGATGATTGAATCGACATGGCATCGTCATTTCCTCCATCCTGCTGGAAGCTGGTTTGCTGTTGCTGGTAAACCTGTACCATATTCGTCGGGCACGTCGATGTCTTTACGTATAAAGAAGTTGGTTGCCGTTAAAAGGAGACTGTTGTGTTAATACCAAATCGAGAGTGTGTCATCCCAAGCAAATAGATGGAGGTGGATGGGTCAGCCCGTGCCTTTTATACTCAGAATAAGGTACTTAGGTTTGCCTCTCAAGTCCAGTTTCGTAATGGGGCACCTGATCATCCATCCACCCATCTGATGCTTTGTCTAACACGACAAGGTAACAGTTAGTTGCTAAAGCTATCTCGAGTTTGTTGTCTGGTGATACAGTTATGATCTTTCAGAAT